CCTTGAAATCCCATATCCCCTTCGACCCTCTTAATCACTTGACAAAAAACTGGTCATCATCTACCTCTGTTTGCAATTGGATTGGAGTTAAATGTAGCTCTCGCTATCAAAGAGTCACAGCCTTGTTAATTTCCGACATGGGTCTGATGGGCAGTGTTCCTCCACATTTGGGTAATCTGTCCTTTTTGACATATCTCGACATTAGCAACAACAGCTTCAGTGGAAACCTGCCTCCCCAGTTATCTCGCCTGCGCAGATTGAAGTACCTGAATGCGAATTCTAACAACTTCGCGGGAGATATTCCATCATGGTTTTCTCTCTTGCCTCAACTTCAAGATCTGTCTCTTGCTTACAACAGGTTTGTGACCATCTGTCAAAAAATTTAAGTTGTTAACTAAATGCAGGTATAACTAAATCTTGTCTTTTGCACGCTTCCACGTATATACCTTTTGCTCTCCTTTTTTGGTCTAAAATCTGACCTGTGTGCACAATTTTTTATAAATTGGTGGTAGGGTCCTTAGCTCTGATACCATGATGAATAACTCATCTAAAATGTTTTTAAGTTGTTAGAGAACTGAAATGTACTTGTTTTTAGTCTTCAACATTTGAAGGCTGGCGTGTAGATAACTTTTTATGATTGAGTGGTATCGAGACTCAAAAATCCAAGTCTAATGTCTGGATCTGGTACCAATCGAACAGTTTCACAGGTACAATTCCACCCCTGTGCAACACAACAAAGCTGGCGAGTTTGGTACTAGGATTCAATTTGCTACGAGGAAATATTCCTTCTGAGATTGGTAATCTTCAGCACCTGAAATGGTTAAGTTTGGGATACAACAGGCTCACAGGTTCCATACCTCTTACCATATTTAACATCTCATCATTGCAACGTCTTGTGTTAACAAATAACTCACTATCTGGAGAACTTCCCATCGACATATGCTCTCATCTTCCACAACTCGGAACACTTGCTCTTTCTGTAAATGAATTGGGGGGCCAAATTCCAGCAGGTATACATAAATGCTCTGGACTTCAAATTTTATCACTGTCCTACAACGATTTCACTGGGAGCATACCGAGACAGGTTGCGAATTTAAGTATGCTTACCAATCTATATCTTGGTAACAACAAGTTAGAAGGTATTAACTTATCCATTACGTAGATACTGGCATAACTTCAGTTTCGTCATATTATTAACAGCTGCGACTTTCTTAGGTGAAATAATCCCTGAGATTGGTAATCTTCGTAGACTGGAACTGCTAAGCATGGAGAATTCTGGCCTTACCAGTACTTTGCCATCGTCTTTATTTAATATCACTAATCTATACTGGATTAACCTTTATGGAAATCACCTGACCGGAAGCTTGACAAAGGAAATGTGCTCGCATCTTCCAGTACTTCGATTTTTTGATATTGGAAGAAATGGATTTACTGGGAAAATTCCGAAGGAAATTGGCAATTGTACTTCCATAGCGAACTTTTACCTGAGTGAAAATAACTTTACAGGTGAAGTTCCCTGGGAAATAGGTAATCTTTTCAACTTAGACAGATTAGCATTGAATCAAAATAGCTTAGAAGGTGAAATCCCACCAATAATATTCAACATCTCAACACTCAGAGGCATTTCACTTCTGGGAAATTACTTTTCTGGAAGTCTTCCAGAAAATATTGGCCTTGAGCTACCAAATCTTGAGGAATTGTACCTCGGCATAAACAACTTCAGTGGATTCATCCCTGCCTCTATTTCAAATGCTTCTAAACTCACTAGGCTAGGACTTGGATATAATCATTTCACCGGTTCAATTCCCAACTCATTCGGTAGTCTCAGACACCTGCAATATCTAAACGTGGTTGTAAATAACCTTACCGGTGAATCATCACTCCGAGAGTTGAGTTTCTTCAATTCGTTGATGAATTGCAAACAGCTGAGACAATTGTGGATAGGCGATAATCCTCTAAATGGAATCCTTCCAGCTTCTATTGGAAACCTCTCTTCCTCTCTTGAACATATTTATGCAGCTAATGGTGGAATCAGAGGCCACGTTCCTAATGAAATTGGTAATTTGAGCAGCTTGGCATTCTTGTATCTGCATGGAAATGAATTGACAGGATCCATTCCGAGGACGCTTGGAAGATTACGGAATCTCCAAGCTTTGAATCTATACGACAACAAAGTTGTAGGATCCATCCCAAATGACCTATGCAATTTGAAGACGTTGGGGTATCTAAGTTTGAGCTTTAACAATATCTGCTGCTCACTGCCAGCATGCTTGGGAAATATATCATCTCTAAGAAATATTTATTTAAGTGGAAATAGATTGAATTCTACTATACCTGTAAGCCTTTGGAGCCTCACTGATCTATTGCATTTGGATTTGTCCTCCAACTTCTTAAATGGATCTCTACCTCCAGAGATAGGAAATCTGAAGGTTGCAACACTGATGAATATTTCGATGAATCAAATTTCCGGCATAATCCCCACGACAGTTGGAGGTATGAAAGGCATACTTGAACTTTCTTTTGCTTTTAATAGATTGGAGGGACGTATTCCGGAATCATTTGGCAATATGTTAGCCTTGGAATCCTTGGACTTATCTTATAACAATCTCTCAGGTGCAATCCCCATGTCATTAGAAACACTTTTACATCTTACATACTTCAATGTATCTTTCAATAGATTGAGTGGTGAGATTCCTACTGGAGGTCCTTTCTCAAACTTTACATATGAATCCTACATGTCAAATGAAGAACTATGCGGTGCTATCCGGTTGCAAGTTCCAGCATGTATGGCTAGTCATCCGAACCACGGGAGAAGGAGAAAACAACTACTACTGATAGTCTCTACTTCACTGGCTGCCTGCATAGTTCTAGCCTCGTTGACAATAATCTTGATAAGGCGCCAAAAGAGGGATAATATTCCCATTCAAACAGATTCTTTAGTGGAAGCCTCACATGGAAGAATATCTTACCGTGAACTTGAACAGGCAACCAATGGATTTAGTGAAAACAACTTGCTTGGCAGAGGAAGTTCTAGCTCCGTATATAAAGCAACACTGTTAGATGCTTCTGTAGTAGCTGTGAAGGTATTTAACCTGCAACATGAAGGGGCATCTAGAAGTTTCGACACAGAATGTGAAATACTACGCAATCTTCGCCACCGAAATCTGGTGAAAATTGTCAGCAGTTGCTCTAACCTTGATTTCAAAGCTTTAATTCTAGATTTCATGCCTAACGGGAGCCTGGAGATGTGGCTTCATTCTAGCAACCATTTTTTGGATATTATGCAAAGATTAGACATAATGACAGATGTGGCTTTTGCATTGGACTATCTCCATTATGGTTATTCAACACCTGTGGTTCATTGCGATCTGAAGCCAAGCAATGTGTTGCTAGACGACGATATGGTAGGACATGTCAGTGATTTCGGCATTGCGAAATTGTTAGGAGTGGAGGAGACCATTGCACAAACCAAGACCCTTGCAACAATTGGATATATTGCACCTGGTAATATTGTGTGCAATAGCCTCTCACATGCAAATCGAATTCATTTTTCTTTTTCCTTTTCTTTTGACGTGATTAATTGACCCTTTTCTTTTATTTCAATGTAGAGTATGGATCGGAAGGATTAGTGTCCACAAAGTGTGATATTTACGGCTACGGGATCATGTTAATGGAAGTTTTCACAAGAAAGAAGCCCACTGATACAATGTTTGAAGGAGAATTAACGCTGAAATATTGGGTAAAAGAATATTGGCCTAATGCAATAATGCAAATTACTGATCTTGATTTATTAAGGCCACAGGAAGAGAATTTAACAGCAAAACTGCAGTTGATATCATCCATCATGGAATTAGCTTTCCAGTGCTGTGAAGAATCACCAGAGGAAAGGATCAATGTTAGAGATGTTCTATCAGCACTCAACAAAATCCGATCTCAATTTTCGCTATTTATTTGCAGACAGGGAAAATGAAAGATTATTTGTAAAATTTATGTCATACACAAAGAAGTCCGATTATTTGTAAAATTTATGTCATACACAAAGAAGTCCTTTAGTACTTGTTTACTTGCTACATTGTTGTAACACTTTTGCAGTAAAGCAAACAAACAAAAAATTAATCACTTACTAAACCACAAATTAGAAATTAGAGGTGAACATTTTAAACCAGAATTACCCAAATCAAACTGAAGTTGACGGAGCTGGCACGTCTGGGTTAGTTCTGATTATATTTAAAGACGAGAACCAGATGGGTCTCGAAAAACTGAGACCAGTTTTTTTTAAAAGAATAATTAGTTCACCAACCCTACTGAATAGGGGCTTAATAAATTTAAGTCAAAGCAAAGTAAAGCCAGCACTTGATTTTCGCCTGTCCGCTCAGTGCGTCCTTGTGGGGACAGATCCGAAAGTGGATGGGTATTACACGCTCAATGTCTACGTTAGCAAGCTCATTAAAGTGGATTAAAAAGGAGGCTCGAGGGATTTCTTGACAAAGTAAAGTCAAGAGAATCGCACTAGTTAGCACTGTCTACAATATTGAGAAAATAAAAGATAGATTTAATATAGAATATATTGAAAGAATTTGATGAAGGAAAATATGTAAAACACTTATTATTTATCAAAAGCTCAATTAACATTGTGAATACATTACTCTATTTATAGAGTAAAATTCTAACAAACAAATACATAACAAACAAAAGAAGAATCTAGAATAAGCATCTAAATTGAGTATTCCAACATACAACATTTGGATGACTAGAAATAAACAGATATTTAAAGATCTTAGGCCATGCTCCGATAGTATTGTGAGACGATTAAAACACATGTATATAGGGGCGGAGCCAGCCCTTCAAACTAGGGGGGTCCCGAAGTTGAAGGGGTGGGGGCTCACGGGGGT